CCCGCGACTGCAGGGGCAGCGCCTGCCAGCGCCGCGTAGGCGAAAGCCAGCGCCGAGCCCCGCCTCCCCCCGCCGGCCAATGCGGGCGAGGGGACAACCAGCGTTGTCGGGGACAACCGGTTTCATACCACCCCACCCCCACCGCAGGAAAACCTGGAGGACCCAGGGAATGGAAAAATGAGGAGAGAAAGGGGATCGGGAGGTGGGAGGACAGAGGAGAGAAGATGGGGACACAGGTCCCTGGCAGAGAACGGGAGCTTGGGTTTTGGGGGCCAGGGGCAGGTACCTGGCCAGCGGATAAAGCACCCCCCACCCAGAGATCCAGAGGAAGAAATGGGATGCCGGTGACGGCCCCAGGATAAGCAGGGGTTTCCATCTCCCCTTCTGCAGACTCTTTACCAGTCATCCCTCTTCCTTCTGCGTTTTGAGCCATAACACCCATTTTTGACAGTCCCAGGGATCTCCCACTCCTGCCTCTTACCTGGGGGGCGCTTTTTTGCACACAGTGCCATCTCACCCAGCAAGGTCCCAGCAATCCCATGGGAGACCCTGAGGAAGGTGACATATGCATGAAGTTAGGAAACTAAGGGCCACTCTTTACTCCCTTCCTCGGGCTCCTCTCCCGTTTCAGACACAGCCCCTCCACCAGGTTCAACACCAACACGCAGCTCTTACTGCCTTGATGGGTCCCTGAAAGGGGGCCTTCCCACCCCGTCCCATGCCTCCACCTTAGATAACATGGAGGGACTACAAGAAAAGAAGAACTACAAGGAAAAGAAAGGGGCAGAGGGAAAAGACCAGATATTGACAAGGGGGCACAGTTCTCAAGGTACCCAATCAGGGACAACAGCTGCCATCATGTGCCCTCCCAGTGGCAGTGAGTGGTGCCTGTTTACTGGAAAGCAGAATTTCCACCCCAAGGGTGGGGTTGAGGGAACACGTGCCAGGAAACACCTGGCAGAGCATCAGGAAACAGGGTGGGCAGGCTAAAAATGCTTATAACCCCTTCCACCCTCCACCCCCTGCACTACTGGGGTTTGAGTTATCACCTCCTCCAGAGGAGCATATTGGAGGTATGGCCTTCACTTCCTGCAGACAGTAGTCCCCAAACGACTTCCTCTCCTGGACCAGCAAAGGGGTCTTCCCACCCCTAATGGGGCATCACCCTCCCTCCCACAAGCCGAGTTCAGACAGTATGACACTGAATGCAGGCACAGGAAAGCATTAGCCAAAGGGCTCTTGGCTTCCTTCCATCTTCCCAAGTCCTTCCAGTCACATAAAGAGGTAAAGACCTGGCCCACAAGACAGGGTCACAGCCTTCCCCAGTCTTGCCCAAAGGAAACTGGCAGCCAGGTCCTCCAGTCACCTCCTTTCTTTGTCTGGGTAGAAAGCCTTCCTCCTCCTCCTCCTCCACCTCTTCCATGGTTCTCCTGCCTCCAGCACACTGGGCACACCCTGTCAGCCTGTCAGACCCAAGAGATACTAATTGCCTGTCTGCCCAGCCTCTATAATTACAGACTCTGGCCACAGCCCCGTCACCCACACCAATTCTCCCTCCACTAATTCAGACTGTCCTGCTGAACCCCATATGAGGCAGGACCAAAAGCCAGAGTGTTCTTCCTCCTTGACCCTCCCCAACCCTGGCAGCCAAGGGTGCCTGGCTCAGGAAGGAAAACCTCATCCACATTTTAGAGATGCCAAGTCCTCCTCCAGGGCCCCCAGCCAGGGTCTCCACCCAGTCTAGAGTATGAGTCATTGGAGGGTGGGGAGTAGAGGGAGAGGTTAAAGAAGAGGATGTAAGGGTGGGCATCACACGTTCCATTGCCAGCCCCACCCTCAGCGAGGGAGGCAATCAAGAGACACTATCACCCGAGATCTGAGTCCACTGAAAGGGTTAATGAAGGAGCTTTTAGGGCTCAGGAATCTGGACACCGACCAGGAAAGTTGTTTTACCTCTAAGACCCTGGGGAAGACTAAAAGTTGGCTTGGCCCCACACTTCATCCCCTTTGGGGGCCCGTAACAGGCAAGAAAAGGGGGGAGGAGAACCTGGGAACACTTCTTCCCAGTCTCACACTGCCTGAGTTTTCTGAACCAGGCAGGCCCGTCAGCCACGTCGCCCGGCCCCAGCCCCCTTTACAGCCACATTTGGGATAAAAATAGCCAGCCCTCGGAAGGAGGCAAAGATCCTCAGAGGAAAACGGCTCCACCTCCAGGCCTGGTCGGGCGGTGGTCCCCTTCCGACCAAAAGAAGGTAGAACTGATCCCCACTTTTTGGAGGCGGCTGGCAGGGAGATTGAGAGCAGGTCGGAAAACAGGAGGACATGGAATTCGAGACCCCCAGATCACTCGTGACCAACAAGACCACCTTCCATCGCCAAGCGCAGGACCTAGGACTCCCGGGCTGTGACCTCTCCTCGCACCGCCCTGGGTCTTGCGGGAGCAGAGACCTCACCCCACAGAGACAAAGCCGACCAGCGCAGCTCCCCTCCCCAGGCACCCCAGCCCTCGGATCCAGGCCACTCCTCTGCCCGACAACTCGGGGAATTCTCTCTTCACCGCTCCATATGCCCCAAATACTTCTCCAGCGCCCCTTCACCATCCTTCCATACTGTGGGCTGCCTCCTGATCTCCCCCATCCTCAGGCACCCCGACACCCTCTTCTCTCCAATCGTCTATTGCCCCTGCTCCGCCTCAGCGCAGTTCTTGATCTCTGCCCGGGGTCTCCACCCGCGCGGCCCCTCCAGCCCCGAGGCCGCGGCCCCATCTCCCGGTGCCCTCCCGGCCGCGCCAAGGTTCGGGGCGCCCACGGTCTGGCTTCGCCTTACCTCAGCGCTCCGCGCCCGGCGCCCGCCCCGGAGGCCCCGTCCAGCCCATGCCGGGGGCTGCGGCGGGGGGCGCTCGGCTCACTCCCCGCAGCTGTAGCCCCCCGAGCTGCAGCCCCGCTCCCCCCGGGGCCTCAGCCCGCTACTTTGTGTCAGTTTCAGCCACGGCGGGGCGGAAGTGACGGAGGTGGCAGGAGAGGGCGGGGGGCGGGAGGGGGTTTTGGGGCAGGAGAGGGCGGGGGGCGGGAGGGGGTTTTGGGGAGGGGTGAGGAGAGGGGAGGGGGAAGTGCGCACCGCCATCTTTGTGCGGGGCAGCGGGAGGGTCTTAACTCCTCGGGTGCTGAGCGCTGCCAGCCAGGTCCCCCGCCACACCTACTTCCAGAGCCATTCCACATTAAAGATAAATAAATAAATCTGGACGCTAGAGATCGCTGAGATGTTTTTTATTCGGAAAAAAAAAAAGGGAACCGGAGAAGGCTGCCTTCTCTGCAAGTCTCCTTCAGGGAGGGCCGAGAGAGGTGGGGAAGCGAGGAACCACGAGAATTTTCCTCAGAGCTAATTTCCTATATCCAGACACTGATTCCCCACTGAGCTCTGATTCCCCACCTTTCTCCACCTCCTGGCTCATTTCTGTTTCACCCTCTCCTGAATGACATAGCCGGAATTTCTAGAGATTAGGTAGTGTCTCAACCTCTCCGAGCTGTCCCTCTCTCCGGATGCTTGAATGAGTTTGTCCCACCGCCCGCCATCTCTTTCCCTCCCTGCCCACTGACTGCCAAACCACCGGGGGGGAGGCAGATTCTCCTCCCTAACCTCTACTGTAGGTGGCTAAATCCGGGGAGCACCCCACTGAGAGTAGAGACGAGCGACGCAGAGGCTACAAGAGTTGAAGTGTCGGGCAGGAGGTAACCAAGCTTTGGAAGAAACCCCCAAGGTTATGTCGCGGGTGGCCGAGGCCACCCAGACGATTCCTGCAGCCTTCCCAGTGCCGCGGCCAAGGTGAGCACCCTCTGGCGGCTACTTCGTGAAACTACGTTCTTGGAGGCTCTTTGGCTGGAAAAACCTAAGGGGAGGAAGAGCCAGGCCCACATCCCCACCCCCTTATCCTCCTCCAGTTCTCCCAGAGCAGGCATCCTCCCCAGTTTAGGAGAGCCAATGCCTTCATGAGTGAACAGAGAAGCTGTCCAGGACCCTGTGTACTAGTAAGGAGAAAGAACGGCTTGTCAGTCCAGTGTCGGTGAGGGCGTGACGGCCATCAGAATCATAGCTTACACCCGGCTTTTAGGTGGAGGCAGGAGTCTCCAACTCCGAGCTCTTACGTGGGACACACTCTATATTATCCTGAGTTGGCTCTGAGTCCTCAGGGTGGTGCATAGCCACCAGCAGCTGGTATGCAGCTGTGCCAAGCGTGGCTCCCACCAGAGGGGCTGTCACAGGTACCCACCACCAGCCATTACCAGCGCTGCAAGAGACAGACAAAAGGAAGATTATCAGGGTGACTCCCCTAGCCTTCAGTGGGGAAAGGTGGGAAGCAGAAACAAGAGAGCTCCCTAAAGTAGTTCCTGGGGTGTTGGATGCCAGGAAAGTGTCTTTTAACCAAACCACGGCATTTAGAGAGGAGATCCCAGGAGAGCTTGGTCCACTCTCTTGCCTTAAGGAATTATCTGGATGTATCCACTTTACCCCGGCCATGATGACAAAAAGGTAACATGACATGCCCTAGAACACAATATTTACATCTTACGGTTTCAATGAAAAGAGTGGGTGGGTAGGTCAGGGCTGAGAGGAGAGACAGGATCTAAAAGCCAAGAGGACTATGTGAGAGAAGCGAGGTGGAGCCCAGAGACCCAGCCCTTAGCAGAAAGAAACGAGCGGAGGTCACTTCTCACCTAAAGACTTCAGGCCCCCAGCCAGCCACATAGGTGAAGAGCCGTGGGCCCAGGTCCCGGGCAGGATTGAGTGGGAACCCACAGTTGGCACCCATGGACAGCCCGATGGCCAGAATCAGCAGCCCCACCACCACGGGCTCCAGACCTGCAGGCACTCTGTTGTTCCGTGAGTCCACGATTGCCAAGATCCCCACCAGCAGCATCCCGGTGCCCAGAACCTTAGAGTTGACAAAGGCAGGGGGTTCAGCCCTCTCTCCTGCGAATATTCCACCCCATCACCCCCTGTCATCTGACTGTCCAACACAGGCAGCTGGGGGTGAGGGTGTGTGCAAAAATAGACAAGTCCACGTCCCACCCAGGGCCCAAACAACAGCTGGAGGTCCAGAGAACAGGGGGAAGGTTGGAGCTCTCCCTCTTCTCTCCCTCACACCTACCTGGTCCAGGAAGCCATTTCTCAGGGTCAGATAAGGGGCAGGGTAGGTGGCAAAGATGGATGCTGTCTCCTTGGGACCTGTCACTGTTAGGTTGCCACCTGTATAGTTCTGTAGGGCATCTGCAGGGGAAAGGGATACCCTGGATTTCCATCTTTGCTCATTCAAACCATCCCAAAGCACTCTAGCCCACACACTGATGCCCCCCACCCTGTCCCCTCTGTTACCATAGTAGAGAGCATAGGTTACTCCAGAGGCGCAGAAAGCAGACAACAGCTGCACAAAACAGTAAACTGGGAGCTTAGCCCAGGAGAGGCGTCCCAGGAGGCACATGGCCAGGGAGAAGGCAGGATTCAGATGAGCCCCTTCAAGAAGAGAAAACCAATATCCATCAAATGTTGCTACCAGACACTGCTACCAGGCGACACTGTCACTCCTCCCCGCCACTCTTAAGGCAGATAGTATTCCTACTGTTCCCATGGAGGTTATACAGTTAAACCAAGTCTCGAACCAGTCTGTCTGCTCAGGTGCATCAATGCAGGCCCAGAGAAGGTTTTGGGTGGGGAACACAAAAGGATAGTGCCTACTTTGTGCCATGCCATACATCTCTATCTAGGACGCGGACTGGGAGATACAGAAAGGGAGGGGCTGGATTGGGCCAAAGCATATCTCAGTCCAGTCCAGAGGACTATTGGAGCTCATGGAGATAATGACATGAGTCACCAAAGAAACTGCCTTTCCAACATCACCACACTCACATGGCCCAACATTCCCACCCTGTACCCCCTCTGCTGACCGACCCCACTTTCCTCACCTGAAACAGTGCCACTCACATAAGAGGCTATCACAACGGCAAGAGCGCCGGCCAGATAGTTGGTGAAGAAGTTGCCTTTGGTTTCTTCACTGGTAACTGTCTGGGCCACAGCTCCCTGGGTGATGAGCTGATGGGAAAAGGGGAGATGAGGAACAGGGAACCCAGGGAGAGGGAACCCCGTGGACCAGTAAAGGAGAGAGAGGAAGAAACCGAGAGATCAGTGAGGCAAGGGGAGCTGCCAGGGAGCTGTACCTACGGGAGCAATCAGTAAAGAAGGGAGAAATGCAGAAAATGGGAAGGAGAAACATAGAAGAGTAAAGAAAGGGAGGAAGGGTGAGAGGTGGAAAGGATCAAGAATGAAAAGGAGGGCGCAGGAGCATCTAGAGGAGCTCAGAGGGGAGAGAGAAGTGAGGAGAGCTGTGGGGAATGGGACACCACACAGGAGAGAGGAACCTCACAGCCACCTCCCTTCTTTCCTTCCCCCATTCACCCTGCCTACCAAGAGCACAAATACACCGAGGAATTCTGCCAGGCACTGACGAGCCAGGAGGCTTGGGATCCGGAGCCAGCCCTTGATTTCAGCCAGGAGTCGAGAGTAGGCCATAGCGAAGGAAGATACTTGTCCCTTAGTCACACTCCCTCCGTCTGCACCGGCACAGTGCTGTAGCTCAGAGACAGCCAGCCAGAGGCAAAGATAAGGAAAAGACTTTAAACCAATTAGCTCAGCTCCTGTACAGCAACTAGTGTATGTCTAAAAAAAAAAAAAAAAAAAGCTAGGGAGGCTGGAGGCAGCAGAGAGTGCCCCCCCTTGCTGTGGGTCACCAGACTCTTCCTCCTGGTCTCCTACCCCTTTGCTCCCCGAGAAGGCTCTTCCTATGCAGAGAGGGTAGAAGTATCCTGCTTCCTCCACTTCAGTTCTTTGGGTCCCTGAGGCAATTGCGCAAAGTAGCAGTGTTGCTCTCAGTCCAGATCTGCTAGTTTTGAAGTCCACATTTTCGCCACATAACTAACTGGCTGTAAATCACTTTTGTAGAAGGGGACATCCAAAAGGATATCATGAAATACGAAAAAATAATAGCCAAATGTAAAGTATTCTGATCCAGTTAAAATGCACATGTACACTAGAAATTAATCACTTATCAGCATGCAGAGTTGGTTTCTAACTTCAACAGTGGGCAGTGAAACCAAACTGACTAGCTAAATGCATTAAAAATCTGCCAAAGGCAGTGATTGGTTAGTCAGTCAATGGAGAAATGAAAACAACTGTTAACCAGTTATTGAATCTTCTACCAAAAAAAAAAATGTTTTACTGCCAATTAGTTAGGCATGAAAATGCTTGGAACAAAATGCTTGCAGCGAAACGAACCAGAACTCACTCTTTTACAGGAGCCCCCAGGGTCACACAGTTAGTGGCTAAATCTGAATTTAAGTTCAGGTCTTCTGAACCTGAAGCTCATACTCCACAATGCTGCTCAAAAGCTGGCAACGCTGCAGCCATTTTTAAACAGGGCCAGAGCAAGCAGTAGGCAGAAAAATTGCCTACTGTCCACTATAACTGTGCCAGACCCTTGGATGGGGCCAAACCACAACATTCCGAAACATCAGCAAGAACGAGAAAATCCTGTTTGAAAAGACTTTTACTACTTTTATTTGGTGACCCATCATTTTGTGACCCCTTCACTTGACCATGGTAATCATCACCATTACCTCATTTTCCATTCTTTTTCTCCCTATGAAAAGGCCCCATTTTTGTCCTTGCTGGAGACATATTTTTTTTTCTTAAAGATTACATAGAAGTGGCCCTCCCTGGTGGCGCAGCGGGTTAAAGCACTGCACTGAGAAGCTAAAGCCACTTCCGCATGAGTTCGATTCCCGCCTGCCCCGGAGGTGACCACATGGTGTGGCAGACCTCTCCTGACCCGCCCGCTGCTCCCCTCAGCAGTGTACTTCGTAGATCTGCCTGTTCTGCTCCCCACTCTGTCTCTGGTGAAGCCTCTCACCACCCCTGAGCCTCTGGCCTGTACCCCAG